TTTGGTCAATTCACATTTTCTGCTACAAGTGTCATGGGATCAAACAAGAGATTGCATATGATTTTGGTTATTATATTTTTTATACTTTATTTAAAAGTTATTTAATCAATATTAATAAGATTTATATAATTTATAAATCTATAAGAATTTCAACGCATCGGATGACTTATAAAAATACCCATATTTATTTAGTACATTTAAATAAATTGTAATTTTTAAATTTTTTATTATGAATATTAATAAGATTTATCACAGTAGTAAATATATAAGAATACTAATTTGTACCAAATTACTTTATTATAATTCTTTTTATTATAGATATCAACAAGATTTGTCCAATTTGTAAACGAAAATTTTAATCACATTGAATGGCATTCATTAAAATTATTTTTCTTAATGCTAATAATATTTAATAATTTATATATTAATATTCTAAAATTTCAATTATATATGATTGAAAACTTAATTGTCGTTTGTATGTAAATGTTATTTTAGTTTTATTTTCTTTATTTATAGAGAATTAACTTTATATTTTAGAAATATTTTTATCATGTATATAATCCTTATTAAAAAAAATTAAAACAGAAGTATCCAAGTGCAATGCACGTGATAATAAATATTAGTAAGTATAAGTTGCTCCCAGCTCATCTAATTGGGTGCCATGCTTGGCTGGTGTGGCTTGTTAATAAATATTAACAAGAATGCGATGTTATTGCAAAAGAACAAGGAGACATTGATGTCATTAACATTGTTTTGTGATAAGTTTGAGATTAATATTGGTATGATCGTTGGATCAATAAAATCACAAGGAAACAAACCTTAACCATCATTGATGGAGTTTATGTGATTCCCATTGTTGGTATGAGAGGAATTTTCAAGATAACCCTTACTAAGTTTGTCTGGGGTGATAATAACGTAACGATAATTTTAATCTAATTTATTAGGTACATTTATTATTAAACTGCAGGCATGTCAAAATTATTATATATATTTATAAAAACATTTTAAATTACATAATAAAAAATAATTATTTCTTATTTTACAAGTCATGGTGTATATCTAACTAATAAATTAACTAATATATATATGTATACTAATAAATTAACTAATAAAGATTTGATGGTTAGGGAGTTGCATAGTGTTGATGGAAACTAGGTGGTTGAAGGGAAAATGGATGAGAAGGAGACCATCTTAATTTAAATGAACAATCAGTCATAGCCTCCACAGACAGTTCTTATATGGTGAGATTGGTTCTTCTTTGCACGTTTTATAAGGTGATGGTTGAATGTTAGAAATTTAGCTTTTTAGTGATGACTTCTTGTAATATCTTCTAGTTTTACTAGAAAAGGTTTTTGTAATCTTATTATTTTAAGTAGGGGACGTGATTTTTTCCCAGATCAAGGAATTTTTTACATAAAATTTGATGTTTTACTTTCATGGATTGTTGATTATTTAAAAGAATGCCTCTACGGAATTCCAAACAAAAACAATAGTTAGTAAATAAATCGACTAAAGCCAAGTTGATAATAGTGACGCCATGAGGATAAAAAAAATTAGAAATAGCATTGACTGAACATATTGTACCAAAATTTTTGAAGTCAACATAACATTATATATTGCAAAATGACTTAAAAAAATGGGAAAAACAACTACTATTATATTCAATCCACATTAAAGTAGGTACATTTTGTTTTGAGTTTGGTTCAAATTATATTAGGATGAAATTTCCTTTCTGCTTTCATCATTGTATTCATATTATATAGTGGAACAATAACTTTTTATTTGCGTAGGTATACTGATGTCTAGTGGTTGACATTCAATACCTAATAGCTGTCTTACCATTATTCCTACCTAACCATTCCTATATTATATGGTTCTAAAAGTTTAAGCAGCTGTTCAATCACGAAATATTGACACCTTCAACAGATTAATTTGGGAGGATCCCAATGAATACATTTTAGGGTGCATTATCAAACCAATGATTAATAACATTTAATTTAATTTACAAATAAATGCTTTCAAGTAGTAAATTTTTTGTAAATATTATAGGTTGCTCAAAATTTCATTGTAATTTGCACTTGAACATTTGATTCCATCAGAATAATAAAACTTTAGATAATGGACATTCACATAAGGTTATAATAAAAAATAAAAATTTAAATTAGGGATAAATAATTACCCAATAATTTCCTTTAATAAGAAATTTGGTATTAATAATTGGAAATAGAAAATCAATTAGTCATATTTTATATGAAATTCAATGTTAACACACAAAAAGATAAATTTTGGTCAATATTTTAATTTAGAAAAGAAATTATTAATGAAGATAAAATAATTAATTTAATAGATTGATAGGATATATATATATATATATATCATTTAACTAACATCGAAGCATTTTGTAAAAAGGTTAAGAGTTTCAAAATGGAAAATTTTGATTGTTTATTCTTATTCACTTCAAAGCTATACAAGGCTTATATATAAGTTATGTCGATAAGCATTCTGTTGATATATACAAATTTTGTTGATAAAACATATTTCAAATAGAAAGAAGCTAAAGTTTAACACGAAATTATCTAACTTATCTAGATTATGTCACTTATCGAAGACAATGACTTATCTAGATTATTTAAAAGGTTTCCTGATAGAAGCATAATCTTTAATACATTTGACTCATTGATCAATGTATGATTTCTTTTTTTAAAGAGTAAGATTTGAATCATCTTTCTTAAATATAAAAAATATACATATTGTTTAATTTATTTTTTCAGACGTGGGGAAGGGGGATTCATTGTTTAATTTTTGAAGTTTTTACTTTCAATATATATTAAATATCTATAATATATATAAAAGTACGGATGTTGGAAAATTTTTTAATTAACAAAACATAGTTATATTTGTTTATTATATTTATGAATTTTGATTTTAAATATTTTTATAGTTGATATTAAAAAGGTTGATCTAATTTGTAAATATATAAAACTTCTAATTTTATAGAACGATCAGTTATGAACATAGTTATATTCATTCATTATATTTTTAAATTATCATTTTAAATATTTTTATTAATAATATTAATACGACGTATGAAATTTGTAAATGTATAAAAAGTTAAAATTGCATTGAATGACTTTATTAAAAGTTTTTTTTTTGTTAGTAATTGACCACTGATTTTTCTGTTGGAGTTGAGTACTTTTCCAAATACAAATGTAGGGAAACCTGAAATTTTTGCAAAAAAAAAAAGAAAGAACAAGAACAAGATTTATCCCATTTGTAAATAAGAATTTTAATTACATTAAATGATTTTCATTAAAACATTTCTTAATTCCAATACTATTGAATAATTTATAGATTAATAATACAAAATTTCAATTATATAACACTGAAAAATTATAGACAATTAACTTTATATTTCAAAAATATTTATATCTTATAAATAGATATTTATTATTTCAAAATAAATAAAAAACAAATATTCATATACAATATAACGAGAATAACTATGAATAAGTATCAGTATATTATTATTATTATTATTATTATTATTATTGTTATTGTTATTGTTACAAAAAATGATGCAGTAGGGTTGTTTCACGAATTTTCAATTCCTAATTCATTGTTTACTTCAATTATTAACTGATCGTTTAAGTTATGAATTTTTTTTTTAATAATTAGGAGAGGGGAGATTCGAACGTAAGAGGATAATACACCAACGAATGAACCAAATACTCGAATGTTTAAGTTATGAAAATTATTTAAGTTTTAGACTTATATAAGAAAAAGTAATTTTATTTCTCCTCTAATAAATTGGAGTATTTAAATTTAAGATTTGAACCTGACAGTTTTCAATTATTGTTTTAAATTTCAACAATGGGTTGTTCTGTATTGTTTGATACCAAAATATTTTTGTTTTATGTCAATTAATCAGGCAATGATATTAGGTAGATCAAGATCTGATCTAATTTCTCTTACAATAATATTATCATTTTTTAAACATCTTTCCTTGGGGGAAGAACAATGAATCCAAGGTAGCCATCCCCATTAACAAGATTTTATAGATTTCTATAAAATTGCTGCAAGCTTTACCATATCAACATTATCATCCATATTGACAAAACTTAACAAAATTTTTCCTGAACTTCCCCTGGTTCAAGATGCAAGTGACAAGTTTCGTCTAATTCTGTTACTTTATCTTCAAAAATCAACAAATTAAAAGTATAATAGCAAAATTTAATGAAATCGAACGATATTGATAAAATTCAACATTAACTCTTTAATATTGATGAAAAATTGGTCTTAATCCCCTAGAAATTTCATAGCTTAACAGTTTTTTCCCCCAATTCTGACTATCTGAGTCTTACTTACAAAATTGAGAGTCACTTTTGAATGTTGCTGATACAAATTCATGACTAAAGAGAATTTCATCTATGGGGATTCATATCTCCTATCAATTTTCATACAAAATTTTTAAGAATATTTTTGCTCTACATTTCCCATAGCAATGGATAGTCCCTCGTGCTTATCATTAAGCAAGCCACAACCATCCCCATCACTCTCTCACCTTTCTAGCCATTCAAATCTCAATCTATGCAAGCCACAAGGCCTAGGTATATAAATCCAGAATCCCAGAACAGGTTAAATATACTTGATTAATATTTGGTTACATAATAATAATATGTCGTAAAAATTCATGTGACTTTTGTTAAAGAATGCAACTTTTACCATCTCTTTGTCTGCCATTATCACCTGCTCCTGTCCTTGGCCGATTTATTTTATTCCTATCAAAGGATAACAAAAATAAACTACATCTCTCTTTCTTACTATAACACGTTACTTTAAATTATAATATATGGCGAGCCATCACATGCATGCACATGTCTCTTTCGCTAAACCCTAGGGAACCTCATTTTTCAAAGTTTTCATTGGTTTTATGCACATGTCTCTTGACCACTAAACTTAAATTCAGAAATAAATTTTGAAATTTTTTTAATTCCCTCTGATTGAAGAACCCCAATAACCACACAAATTTCTTCTACTTCAACATCCTACTCTTGGATTTTTCTCTCTACCTCAAATCTCATAATTCCTTTCTCAAGCATATTGATCATGGCTTTCATTGCAGACGCTGCTCTCTCTGCTTTCTTTGACTCGTTGTTTGCAAAGTTTTCCTCTTCCAACTTCAACTTTGTCACTGAGAAGCAGGTTCGCAAGGAGATTATGACCTGGGAAACTAAATTGCGGGATATCCATGCCGTTCTTGCTGATGCAGAGGAGAAGAAAATGGAGAACCAGACTGTCAAGAATTGGCTGGCGGACCTCCAAGACTTGGCTTATGACGTGGATGACATCTTGGACGAGTTTGCCACTCAAGCTTTGGGGCGTAAGTTGATGAAAGCACATCAGGCCAGCACTAGTAAGGCACAAAAATTTCTTAATAGTTTACATCCAAGTTCAATCATGTTTAACTATAAGATGATGTCCAAGATCAAAGACATTACAGGAAGATTGGATGATTTAGCAACAAGAAAGATTAACCTGCGACTAGAGAATTACGTTGGAGGCCCCATTACAATACCAAAAAGCAAGCCAAGCACTTCTCTGGTGAATGAAGCTC